ACCTTTTATTTAAATAATTCATGATCCATTTATAATTTACAGGTATTTCTACAAAGAAAAATGACTAAAATGTAATGTTATTCTAATATTAAAAATAAATAAATAAATCATTGATATATATATATATATTAATATTAATAAAAAATATCTTTGACATGTATATGTTAGCATGAATAAAAATATGATGGATGTTTTAAAACAAATTTACATACTATTTTTTATATAATATTAATAGAAATAGAAATACAATACACACTAAAGAATTTTTATACATTTAATAGGCTTAGAAAAAGTATTCAGTGGAGCCTGAAAGAGAGAGTCCTACCAGCAGCTGAGCTCTGAAAGTTTGGTTCCATGGGGGGCTGCTAGCTTCATGAACAAGGTTAAAAAAATAATACCAAAACTGCTGGCATTTAGATCTTTTTAAAATAATGGTATTTTAATAAATAGTTGATGATGATGTGAATTTAATTAAATAAATAAATGGAAGGTGGAATGGTTGGAAGCAGTCACTTGCAATCACACGTGGACATGTGCCAAACACAAAAGACCACACCACGTAAAAAGTGGATTAGTGTGTAATTCATAAATAAATATCTTGGAAATACAATCAACGGCAACACTAAACCGACAATCTGTCCACTTAAGTAACGCATCCACGACGTCAAAGCGGGATTTATCACCTTAAACTATTGCCCCTCACCACACAAACCGTACAACAAACCCGCTAGTCGCAAATCTCGAGATACCCTTCCCTTTCTTACCGACGAAACTGCCCTCGGGTCCCACCCAACTCGGCGTACTTTTTTTCGACGACGAGGAACGCCGCCCAGACCCTTCGTACGCTTAAATCCCGAATAGTTCCTAGGATTCTTGTACTAACTGTTTAAAAAAATGGATTACGCTCCGTGGTTTGCGGTCTGTCTTCAGATTTGTGCAGTTCAATTTTTTAAATTAATATTTTTTATTTAAAAATAAAAAAATATTAATTTTAATATATTTTTAAACAAAAAAATACTATAAAAAACACTATATGTATATATATAAAACACTTTATACCATATTTTTAACAACTTCCAGACTACATATATGAAAATACTGGATTAATTAATATACATTATAATTTTATATTTATTTTACTATAAAATATTTTTAAAAAATTTAATTAAAAGATTTAATTTATAAATTTATTTTTTAAAATTATAACTATAGAAAATACCACGGTATCAGCTAAGACAGGTAATCCAAAAAAAGGCAAGGCTACAAAAAAGTCGGATTTTATAGGCCACGATAGATTTTTATACCTTAATCCTGCCACTTTAACTAGTTTATAAGTGATTCTACTGGTCGCTGAGGTGGAAATGCTACCGAATAAGGCCGCGGCGTGCACATGACCCCTCTGAGAGTTTAAAATGATGACCAAAATTTAATAGTTATTTTATATAAATTTTGTTTTTTATAAAAAGATCCTTTTTAGTAAAAAAAAAATAGTATATTTTAGTTGAAAATCTATAATTATTGTATATATTTTTTTATGTGTAAATGATTTTTGCATCTTAATATCCCCCCCCCTCCTTCCACAGCCTTGAATTCCTAGTTCCTCCCGTGCTACTAATAGATAGAAATAACAGTAAATGATCCCCTGCTTATGATTATGACAGTGATATTAATTTATTTGTGGGATAAAAAAATAATAGTTTAGAAAAAATAATAGTTTAGCTAATTTTTTTATAACACTGATATAATTTATCTTGTATAAGATATGGATTAAGAGTGTTAAAATCATGAAATAACTCTTGAAATTTTATGATTTTACAAGTCAGTATATGTATGACATGTTAAATTAGGTTAATATTTCAAAATTAGTAAAATTTAATTTAATTCGTATAAAATCACTAAACTCGATCTGATTTTTTGAATTTACTGGATTTATAATATAAACCAAGTCATATGCAAAATTATCTTTAAAATATTTGCCAATTAATTTTACAAAATTGATTATATTTTTGAAAACATGTATCATACAAAGCTGAAAGTTTACAGAAAAAATATTAAATACATAAAAATATATTATAATATTTTTTTAAGTTAAACATGGATATTTCATGTAGTCAAGTCTGGTGAATTAATATTGTTAAATATATCAAACAAGACCTTCATATATTGCTTGTGACGTATCTAGAGTTGCCGGTAAAATTTTGTTTTGATTAAAGTTATGATAAAAACTAAACATTTGAAACTTTCTAACTATATATTGTAGATCCATTAATTTATCTAGATAAAAAAAAATTAAAATCAAGAGAAAATGATATATTTAAAATTAATATTCGAATTTAACAAAAAATGTAAAAACTAGAGATTTAGAGTTTAGAAGATATGAATGAATTTTAACACATAGACTTTTTTTATTATTCTATTTTATTTATTTGTTTAGTTTTAAATAATTATTTTCAATTTAAATTTTTTCCAACGTATTATATATTATTTAATGATTTATTTTTTTAATTGATTATATGTTAGTTAACTGTTAATTTAAACTTATTAGCTTGCAATTCAAAACATGTATATCAAGATTAATTGCGATGGAAACAATAAGGTTGTCACTAGATTTACATGTGCCTATTTGCCAATTAATTTTACAAAATTGATCATATTTTTGAAAACATGTATAGTACAAAGCTGAAAATTTACAGAAAAAATATTAAATGCATAAAAATATATTGTAATAATTTTTTAGGTTAAACATGGATATTTCATGTAGTTAAGTTTAGTGAATTAATATTGTTAAATATATCAAACAAGACCTTCATATATTGTCTGTGACATATCTAGAGTTGCCGGTAAAATTTTATTTTAATCAAAGTTATGATAGAAACTAAACATTTGAAACTTTCTAACTATACATTGTAGATCCATTAATTTATCTAGATAAGAGAAATAATATATTTAAAATCAAGAGAAAACAATATATTTAAAATTAATATTCAAATTTAACAAAAAATGTAAAACTAGAGATTTAGAGCTTAGAAGATATGAATGAATTTTAACACATAGACTTTTTTTATTATTCTATTTTATTTATTTGTTTAGTTTTAAATAATTATTTTCAATTTAAATTTTTTCCAACGTATTATATATTATTTAATGATTTATTTTTTTAATTGATTATATGTTAGTTAACTGTTAATTTAAACTCATTAGCTTGCAATTCAAAACGTGCATATCAAGATTAATTGTGATGGAAACAACAAGGTTGTCACTAGATTTATATGTTTCTCCTACCTTTTAATAATTCTCATGTATTAAGATATTTTATTTACAAATTTTTTATTTTTCCATGTCATCAATACATTGATTTATATTATATATTTCTTTTATTTTATTTAGGTCACTCATAAATGATAATATTATTAACTTATTTTATTATATTTTAATATAAATTAATTTATTAGCTAGAATTATTAATATATAATCAGCTGGAAAAATTACTTATAATTTTATATTTTGAATTTATATTATATTTTTTATGTCGTTTTTTTTTTAAAAAAAATTGACAGCCTGTCTTTAATTGATCAGATTTCATAGCTCAACGAAGAATTAGTGTAGATCTTCAAAGTCATGAATAGTAGATATCTATAGAAATTGATATGTCAATTTAATTTTATAAGATCCAAGCCCGCCATTCTTTGCTTCTTGTACTAATTTGTTTATAAATTAATATAATTTAACTGTTTGTAAATTTTTTCCAATGCAAGGCTTTTAAAATCTAACAATGGTATGATAAAATATATGTTTCAATATCTCTTGATAACTGAGTAATAAAATCCTTAATCTATTTTGTAAGTTAATAGTTACAGACCAGAATGAATTAAACGGTTAGATAATTTTGTGAGTTAAAAATATATTTTCCCATAAATCCTCTAATCTTAACATGAATAATCCGTTTTTTAAATTAAATTTAGTAGCCATTCCATGTATATTACTAGAGAAAACATTAGAATATCCGAAGTTGTTTTGCAGTTTACTTGAACAACGAACGCCTCTCTTATTTGTTTTTTTCACTTTTATCTTCTTTTTTTTTTAATTTTATATTTTTTTATTCGATCATCTCACAATAAATTAATTTACTTTTTATTTTATTTTTCAATTTAATCACTTTGTATTAGCCTAATTCGGGACTAGATTTAATAGTTTATTTTAATAGACTTTAAATTAGATTTTTACAATATCAATTATAAATTTAAATAATGAATTAATATTTAATCTAATAAAATAAAAATAATTTTTTATTGATTCAAATATAATTCAATTTTAAAATGAAACAAATATCTGATATTTTTTTCAAAAAATAACATTTTTTTCTCAGCTTTCTAACTAAATATTTAATTAAAGAAAATATTTTTTTTGTTATTTATTAATATATAATTATTAAGTCCAAATATAAACTTTTCAACTTCCATAATAATTGTTTTTAGTGATCATAAAAACATTTACAGCGCCTTTATTTTATTTATGTCGAGGAAAAAAAAAAGCCCCCCCCACAACATAAAAAATCCTGCTGTGGCCCCGAGATACACCGCCCCCACCCCCCTTCATATTTATCCAATCGAGGCCGACACCACGGGTCTCACTCAAGGACAACCATTCACGTTCTCGTTCCACGTGTCACTAACGCATTTGCAGAACATTACAGCGTACCCCTCTCAACTTTTCTACCTCCTTCCCTCCTTTCAGACTACATTCCTCCGCGTATTAAACACGAGTATGCCTCCACCACTCCCATGAGTTCTATCTCTAAGTACTAGACATCTAGCCAATCATTCAAGCGAGTACATATAACTCTATACATGTCGTACGTATTAAGTTTTGATTTCCCCTCTTAAATTTACACGTCGGTTACAGAAGTGAAATCTGACTGGCCCAGCTCACTTGGCTTTATTATTTCTTAACAGCGTCCGCTCCGCGTTGGCTTCCAGCTATAAAAGCCCATCACCCTTGCTAACCCAAACCCAAACCAAAACCATCAGTTACAAGCGCAATTCACTCGAAGCAGAAATTATTCATTTTAATTACTTTGTGATTTTGATATTTTCTTGATTAAGTTCAGTTACAAGCGCAATTCACTCGAAGCAGAAGCTTATTCATTTTAATTACTCTGTTGTGATTTTGATCTTTTCTTGATTAAGTTCATATTGTGATTTTGATCAGTATGGCTGAGGAAAACAAGAGTCATGGGTACGAGACCAAAGTTGGTGAAGAGAGTGGTGCTGTTGAGACCAAGGATCGCGGGTTGTTTGATTTCCTGGGGAAGAAAGAAGAAGAGAAGCCTCAAGAGGAGGTGATTGTTACTGAATTTGAAGAGAAACTTCAGGTTTCTGAACCCGAGACTAAAGTAGAGGAAGAGCACAAGAAAACAGAGGAAGAGGAGAAGAAACCTACTCTCTTTGAGAAACTCCATCGATCAGGCAGCAGTTCCAGCTCTGTAAGTTTCTAACTCGATCCGTGGATCAATCTCATTATTTTTTTTCTGTTGTCTTTTCCGTTGAGTGTTTCTCGAGATTGACAGATTTTTTGATGTGTTAAAAAATGCAGTCTAGTGACGAGGAGGAAGGTGACGATGAAGAGAAGAAGAAGAAGAAGAAGGAAAAGAAGTCATTGAAAGAGAAGATGAAGATGTCAGGAGAGAAAGGAGAGGAGAAGGAACACGAGGATACTAGTGTTCCTGTCGAGGTAGTCCATACAGAAACACCCCATGAACCAGAGGAGAAGAAGGGTTTCCTTGACAAAATCAAGGAGAAATTGCCAGGACATAAGAAAGCTGACGAGGTCCCCCCTCCTCCTCCAGCTCCTGAACATGTTTCCCCTGAAGCTGCAGTCTCCCATGAAGGATCAGATGCCAAGGAGAAGAAAGGACTACTCGAGAAGATCAAGGAGAAGTTACCTGGGTACCACCCCAAGTCCGAAGAAGAGAAGGAGAAAGAAAAGGAGAGTGCTTCCCAGTAGTGCAGCAGGCAGTATTCTTGTGTTCTATAGAACGGTGATGATGATGCTTGATGTGTGGTTTGTTTGGTTATGTCCATCTACTGTTTTTCTTCCCTTTTGAAAAAAAAAAAACCTCGGTTTACTGCAAATATTATAAGTACCATGCGTGCTTGTAATTTGATGTAAGATTGTTTAGGGTTTTGATCACATCTCATGTTTTCAGGATCATTTCCTTTGTTTTTGTTATTTTGATCCCTTTTTTAAACTATAATCAATGAATTATTATTTCCATTGTTTCTACTACCTTTTGATAGCTACAAGATAAAGAATTAAAAGTGTTTCTACTACCTTTTGATAGCTACAAGAGAGAGAGAAGGAGTTAAAACGCAAAAGCATGGTCTCCATTTAAATGATCTTGAAGACTCCATGCATCTTGCCTTAATTTGATGTGTTGAATGTGATGGTGGGGGAGAGTGATCATGCCTTCTAACCCCACATGAGGGCCCCCTTCAGCATTGTAAAATAACTTCATGGAGTGGAGAACTTATCAAAAGTTCAAGTCGGATAAGTTCATGATATCACTCAACCTTTATTCCTGTGTTTGGAGGTTATATTCATTAGACAAATGAAAGAATCAAAGCCAATGTTGGCTCCTAACCCACGCGCATTAATCTTCGGCGCCTAGAAAATTTGATAGTTAATTGGGTGGGGTAGTCTCGGAGAAATCTGGCGTGGTCAGCAAGTGGTTTCGAAGGGACTCGGGCGTTCCATGATTGCCGAGATCAAAATTTACAGGTGTTTGAGTGTAAAGTAAATGTTGTTTTTTAAATAAATATATTAAAATAATATTTTTTAAATTTATTTTTATATTAACACATAAAAATATTTAAAAACCTAATTTAAAAAAAAAAATTAAATTTAAACCAAAAACATTTTCAATCCAAACACTCCATCTTGATCGAAAGAGAATAATTTACAGCTAAATTGCAATGAGTGTACATGTGTAGGGTTCGATTAAGACAGGTGAAGGAGAGCTACAGTGCTGAAATCTTCGAGAGCTTCCTTGGCTGGGATAGAAAGATGAGAAATAAAAAACAGAAAGGGACATTTTTCTGATTAGCTGTTTCATCCTTAATCCGTTGGTTTTTAAACCCACATGGGGACCCGGATAAATCTTAAATCACAGATTATCCGGGTTAACACTAATCTATCTTTTTTATTCTAAAAAAATAAAAATAATATTATTTAAAAAATTAACAAATTTTTGACGACATCAACTTGAATTCTTGACAGAGTTAATTTTTTTTTTAATTAAAACCCAACATAACCTAGATCTTAAATTACCTGGTCATAGATCAACCCATAATGCCGTGAATATTTGGCTACAAGGGCCATACAGGGAGGTAGAAATTCATCCCACCTCTATTTATTGGCTTTATGGATGATTGATACCGGTGGCACTGGAGTCCAGATGGGATCACTTTTCCTTTTCCTTTCGGTTTCCTTTAGAAGAACTCATCCGGCACTTGAAGAGAAATGGTGGATCTAATAGGGTCCAGGGTGGAAAAAATAGCCGCTTGAGGTCGGAAAGCTGTCATTTGAACGGAAACTTGACGTGGGAATCAAGAAATGATGTTTGTTTTAGTCTAATTTTTGTTGGGCCATTCATTGAATTCGAAGAGAATAAATAACAAACTTTATGCAACTTGATTGTTTATTTTTTTATTTCAAGTTGCAACTTGATTGTTTATTTTTTTATTTCGTTTTGAAAAAAATTATTTTTTTTTAATTTAAATTAATAATTTTTTAATCTATCTAAATAATAAAAAATAACTTATTTTTCAAAAGATTTTTTTTTTCAAAACAGAGATCTACTTGGAGTGAAATAAAGGGTTTCTATGCACTTTACTCAGCATTAAAAATTAATTGGAAGCTATGCTATAACACAGCTTACAAGTCTTAACGATCATGTCCTCACGAGAGAAAATGGTAAAGGTCGAAAGAGAGTGCGACTAGCAACGTGCCAGCTACAAAGAACATCATGATGCTCTGAATATGGAGTATCTAGATTATTTTAGAGATCTCGCTTTATTTTTTATTAACTTATAATTTAGTTCCTATTTTTTCAACTATTTTGGAAGTAAGTCCTTCTAGTTTTGAAAATTTTAGTTTCTCGACAAAATTTGATTGCTAATTTTTTTTTTCTCTAAAGTATCCTTGTTAATTCATTTCAAGATTTTCTATATTAAGTGAGATTTGAAAATTTGATTAAAAATAAAGGACATTTAAAAAAAATAGTTAAGAAATTGTCATGAAAACCACCAAAATGATCAAATTGCAAATAAACATAAAAATATAAAGACTTAATATTGGATTTCTTAAACCAAATAGATTAGCATAAGTTAAATTAGATTAGCACAAGGAGTAAATTAGAATAGCACAAGGATCAAACAAGCCATTTAATAGCAAAAACATTAGACTTGACTACATGGTTTATTTTACTGGATACACGAAAAGTGTTTAATATTTGAAGATATTAAAAATATTAATTAAAAATATATATTTTTTAAAAAATTATTTTAAAAAATAAAAATAAACCACCACCCGAATATTAATCACAATCACAGAGATCATATCATTGTAGAGAGCAACTCAACAAGGACGCTGATTTATTCATGTCTGCCACCAAGGATTTGACAGGCAAAGATTGGTATCGTCATGTGTACCAAAACTTTAGTCAAATAGTAGTGGAGTTTAGAACCAGAAAAGCTAGGACCTGTCCTACAGTCTTGGTCCAGGTTTTGCTGCTGGAACCACAGATGGGCCTGGCATTTTTGGGTTTCAACAAGGTGTGTGTGATACAGAGGTCAGACCGTATCCTCTTTTTTCTTTTTATGAAAATCTTATCCTCATTTTTAGAAAGCTGCTATTAAAAACATCACTGAATAATATCCTATTTTTAACAAAATATTTATTTTTTCTGAAATTTAAGTATTATAGGAAGATCTGCCATTTAAAGTTGATTTTTTTTATCATTTTCTTAATTCATGTTTGTTTTCTGGATTTTAAATTAGAATTAATCGGTCAAATCCATTACACTGGATCGTATTAGATAACCATGTAAGTGACCTTGGCCATCTCTAGGTCTAAATTGGAACCTGATTCTAGTGATCTATCCATGCTTCAGATCAATGAACTTTGGAAAACAGTAAGGGACTTTCTAAAGGAACCAAGCCAGTTTCCGGTTCACTTACTTCCAGTATATTGCAACCGAGGGAGACGGTAAAACTTACGCTTGGAGAAAAGTTTTATTCTATTCAAGAGGCTATTATTTTAATCAGCTATACGCGTGTTCTAATCGATGGGGCAACACCGCCAATTCTTGTTGGTCTTGGACCGGCATGCAAGCCTATAAGGCAACCACTGGGCAAGGTTTCCAAGCTCATTATACCAAGCCTCCAGAACACTGAAGGCCCATGAGAAAGATCGCGCTAAACTTCCTACCTATAAACCAAAACCGGCCATGGCAGCCTTTTCCACCAACCGCCACCTATCCAAACGATGCCGTGGCATGACTCCTCCTAACCCCTGCTGTGTCTCCCTCACCATTGCCATATTTGGTCTCAATTTTTATGAGGTTGCCTCGTAAATCTAGACTGTTCTGGAACGTCTATTAACCCGGCCACGCGTGTCCCGCTGTCCGCCTGTGGCCCTAGAACCAACTCCCTTAACCTTGAAGTTATCCTCCGATCATATCCAATTTCAAATTAGACACCCTAACTATCACTCTCTCTGATTCCACCTTTCTTGCAAATTCAAGCAAAGGTCTGCCACGAGAATTCCTTTTTTCCCAGATTGGTTATCTTTATTTCTGCTAAGAAACCCTAAGAAAAATTCTTTTTTTTGCTTACGGTTTGCTTTTAATGTATCAGAATTTATTATGCTATAGCATTTCTGCTTTGAAAGTTGACAAGGACAGGAGGATTTTTTTTAAAATTTTTTTTAAAATATTTTAGGGTTGTTAATTAGTTGTGCAATCATGATTTAAGATGGCTTAGGGGTTTTGCAAAATTTAATTCTGCATGCTTGTTATTTTGAACCCTAGGAGTTGGTTATGCAGACGTGGCATCTGATTATCTTTGATATTCCATTTTTTAGAATTGTTTAATGTGGTGTGTTTGTATCAAAATGGACTTTATTTTGATTGTTTTGAGTTTAAAGCTGGTATAGATCGCTATTAATTGTTGAAAGGGGGTTGATTTTAGTTGTGAGTCACCCGTGGAGTTTTGATTTGTTTCAGTTAGTTTTTCTATTTGATTGTATTTAATGGCTAAATGAAGAATGATAAAGTTGGGATTTTGATGTTGAAATTCATCATTAGTTGTCAGGTGACTCGTGATTTGGATATGCTTATAAAGATATGCTTAGAAGGATGCTAGAAATCATGTTCTTTTTAAATTGAATGCCGGAAATAACGAATTGTTTACGACATTTCCATTTAAAGGAAAAGGTGTAGGATAATAGGATCGTTTTTGTTTTGTTGCATTTTTAAGACATAAAGGAGAGATGCGTAGTCAGAAAGTATATAATTGGATGTCAGATTCTTCAGTAGTTGGAGTATCTTTGTTTTCTCGTTTATGTTGTCGTGACATCAGCAAGCTTTGGAAGGAGAGACATGTGGTAATTATTATAAGTTTTTGTTTTGATGGTTGCCTATAAATGGAATAAATGTGTGTTAGGTTAGGTAGCCTTCATGGGCTAGAAATAGACTCATCCCACAGTTAGGAATTTAAAAAGGGTTTTCGGCTTTCATTGAGTTCAGATATACAAGATATTAGTATGAATTTGGAAGAGAAGAATCAACGATGACTATGCTTATTTAAATGAATAAATACTTGCAGAAAAAAAGGATGCCGGACGACTAATTGATCATTGTTATGTTGTTAGACGAGAGTTTTCCGTTCGGCTTCCTTCATAGTTGATACTTTTTGTAAATATACTTTTCCTTAGTTCAATTTCTTTTTATTTTGGCTTCCATTCTTATATGAACTTATTACATGCACATGGTAGACTGATTACGTTGCTCTTTTAGTAGCTATGTTTCCTAATAACTGCGCATCTTCCAAGTGCGTTGAGACATTGATTGTAATCATATTAGGAAAGATTGAATCACCCCTTTTTTTAGTGCATTGAAATTTAATTACCTGGATGGTGTATCTTATTGTAAGATTTTCACGTTTTGGTAGCTGCTGAGGTACTATGGCAAATGAATACTCTAATGAAGGCTCCAGTACAAGTCATGTTTCTGGGGAAGGTTCGGATGCAACTTTAGAGATCACTATCAAGACCTTAAATTCTCAGAAATTCAGTTTTCAGGTCAACAAAAATGTAAGTATTGCGTGCCCTTTACAATTCCTTTTTTGAGCTGTACTGTTTATGTTTTTGTATTCATATTTAGTTGTTGAGGTGGAGTTTTTTGGACAACAGAAAATGTCTCCAGATTTTTTTGTAATGGCAGCTTTAATTTTAACTTATGCTGTGCGCCTGTTGTGGAAAAACTTTTCAAGTTTTTGGATCAGAGAGATCATGTCTTTGGGTTAATAAAAGTAATTCAACGTAGTTCCATGCATTTCATTGGTTATCAAGAGAGTTTTTAAAGGATGTGTGATGTCTGAAATTGCATAGATGTTTATATTTGTACCGTCTAATATAGTTTTAATTTTGAATATTTTGAATATAGTTTTAATTTTGAATATTTTCAGATGCCAGTTTCTGTATTCAAGGAGAAAATAGCGAATGAA